TTTCTCTCTCTCTTTCTCTCTTCCTTTCTCTCTATACGTATATATAAGTGTGTCGTCTCTTCGTGGACATAAATTCGTGTGTGTATTTTAACTATATACTTTGGCTTGTCCCCATACGTCACTGCACACTTCCGTTTCCCGCTTTAACGCTAATGGCAGCACGGATACACAATTTGTTTTTATACTGTAATAGCGTCCACGCACACGAAACGTGAAACCCTAGAGTCATCTCTCGCTTTATATTATACTATTCGAACGAACGCGCGTTCGAGAGTCAGTCACACGTTATCACTCCTCATCCGGCGACGCCCAAAAATCATCCGGAGCCCCTCAATGAAACGCGACGAATCTCCCGTGAGCATCGCTTGTCCCCTACCTCGATACAGTATCTCGCGCGCGCGTTTTTTTTTTTTTTACGCTATATATAATATCATACAGTGGTACGCGCGCGCTTGTAATAAACTGCTATGTGTACGCACTACGAGGGAGAAAACTATATTTTTATGTATATATATATATATATATATATGTATATGTAATTCTCGTGGAGAAACGAATGGCTATGTAGCGCATAATGCATGTATGTATGTGTGTGTGTAATATAATTCCCTCTCATCCGTGAGCGGGAATCTTTGCGGGACGAGCCGCGCGTTCGCTCGAATGCATCGCGTTTTCTCATCCGCTTGACAATTCCCTCCCCATGTGCGTTTTTCGCCACGAAGTTCCAGTTTCCCGCGTCCGGATAAACCGCGAGATATCGTAGGGCGGATCAGTCTTAAGCCCTTAAGTCGTCTGAGGAGGGTCCGTTGCCCCGTCTCGTCAAAGCGAGCTGCGCGATCTTTGCATTTTATTTTGACACTTTGTTCCTGCTATCTCGACGCGAGAGAGATCTGTTTCCCTTTTCTTCTCCTTTAGAAGAAAATCCTTTCCCTTAAGAAAAACGCACGTTCGCCGACGATCGCGCTCGATCTCGTGACGCTCACAAGGCGGAATCCGAACGGAATGCAGACGTAAACGAACGACGTAACGGCCTCTCTTCGGATATACTTCGTTACGGATACCCAAGTTAACTTCTATCGCTAGTCGTAATATCACTAATCGTTCATCGATCGGTGGTTCGATTATAGAGATCGATGAAAGTAGAGGGAAACGAAAGGGAGCTCTCGGAGAGAGAGAGAGAGAGAGAGAGAGAGAGAGGGAGAGAAAGAGAGAGAGAGAGAGAGAGAGAAAGTGAGTGAAGTACTTGTTACGAAATTCCGCGCACAAACTTATCGGATGAGCGATTTGTCCCGCAGCGCTAATTACGGTATTATCCTAAAAATAAATAAATAAATAAAAAATAAAATAAAATTATGCCCTAATTATATCCTAAGGGCGGCCTAAATTCGCGCGACACGAGATCGGACGTATCCGCCGACGAGAGGGGAAAAACGGAGAGCCGGCGTGTCTCAGCAACGGATAATCGCCAACTGATCAACGTCGTCGCTCGTGTGCAATTAACGCGTCCTTAATAAGGGACGCACCTAAGCGAGAGAGCACCCCTTAAGCAGTGATCACGAGCCGAGTCCTCGTCGTTCTCGAGACACGCGATATAGAAAAGTTCACAAGGGATAGGTTCGTGCGGGGCATCTCCCCCTCCCCCTCTCCTCCCCCAGTCCAAGAGGGGGCGACGAGACATTCTCGCGCGAGCGGCGACGTGGCGAGTGGATAAAAAAAGAAAAGAAAAGGAGAAAAAAAAAAGGGAGAAATGATTGAGTCACGCGCAAGCCGATCGTCCCCACGGATACCTAAAATCTGTCGGCTTTCCACCCCACCTTAGTACCCCATTTATTCGTACACGGGTTGTCCACCGACCTGTCCTTAATTAATATTGCACGCACCGGCACACACGGGGCGCATACATATTATTTTTATGTATGCGCTCCCAATTTCTCCTCTATTCACGCTGGATTGTCGTCCGTACGAACGAAATCGATCAGTCGCTCGTTCGACGATCTCGCTGATATCACGTATATAAAGAGAACGCAAGAAAGGTGAGAACGAATAACAAAGAGAGTCGGTGACCTCATACCGAGCTGTAGGATGAGAGGGGCTCTCGATCGAGAGCGGATCCAGCTCGGGAATCAGATTTACCCCTGGAACGAGGCAATTTCGATCGCTTTGACATCGCGATGCGCTCTCGAAACGCGCATCATCTTCGCGATTTTCCTTCTCTTTTCTCCCCCTCTTGCATACCCGTCTACTCGCGAACGTTACAAATGTTTTACATTTAATTAACGCATATATGTACGCGGCGTACATACACCAATTTATACTTAGCATCTCGCGCACGATCCATCCGCGAGATCGAGCGGATCTCTCTCGCTCGATTCTCAATCGCGGACGCATCTCTCTTTCTCTCTTTAATCGCGCTACAGACTCACGTCATCGTTATTATCCCTACTAGTCGATACTTTAATCGTTAGTATTATATACTAATTACGTTAGAGGCTATCAATCAACGCGCTACAATTGAACCGTCGTCTCGCACACCGGGCGACGCAAACCGGATTTTTCTTTCCCACCCCCTCTCCCCTTTGCTCCACCCTAAAGTTCGCGACGTCCGCCCGGTCGCAAGCGCGATCGTTTGCATGTCGTCTTGAGCTGAGAACATTCAGGCTCATCGCGCACGAGAGGAGGAATGAATGCCTTCTCCTCGACGAGCGCGACGAGAAAACTCACACGTATATATTACGCTATTTAATTAATAGTCAGTCCCTTGACCCCTCGACTCCCGTCCGATTCCTCTAGCTCCTCTCTCTCTCTCTCTCTCTCTCTTTCTCATGGCAATGATCGTCGATTCGTCGATGTGATTTTTTTCCAGCTTCCTCTCCCTTCGATATTTTCCATCGTAGTCTTCGTGTAGGCCAACGAAGTTTTCACAGCGTCCATTGCGCGGACGATCGCGTATTAGAAACTCTCATCTCTTCTTGCCTTTCCAGATCCTTGTTCATCTTTTCGTCCCCCGGCCCGCCGTCTCGTCTTTTAGGTGGTTTCGAAGATGTGGTATTCTTCGTGAGGCCCTTGCGAGGGAACAGTGAAACGTAGTCCTTCGGACGCCTCCTTCCCCGAATAGCTTCTCTTTCAACAGTCGTCATCTCGCTCTATTTCAGTTCGATTTTATTTCTTTTTTATTGTTTTTATTCGATAACTTTATAAAACCACGATAATAATATGGATGTATTAGAAAATAATAATTCCTCTCGCGTATATAAGCTGTACAACACGATCTTCGTTTATACGTGCAATCTCGCACGATGCTGAGCTGTCTTTAGTTAAGCGGTTACGAAATATGGAGACCAATGCCGTCGGCGATGGTTCCTGGAAGCTACTGTCACACTGTCGTGACGTATTCGCGCATCTCGGGCGACTCGGATCTGAACCAGGGATCGTCGTACTTGGATACCTCCTCGCTGCGAGTTCTTGTGGGTACTTTAGGGCGCTCGCGGTGACGTACTCGCGGTCCCTCCTCGCTCAGCGACCTCTTCGTCGCGTCTATGTGCGGCACCTCCAGCAGGGCCTTGGACCTGGTCAGCAGGGGCCTCTGCCGTTTAGAGTCCTCGCTAGCGGCGCGCACCATCACCATCGGTGGCGGCGTAATCTTCGGCGGTGGCCCGGCCTGGGGCAGTCTGTCCTCCAACGGATTGGTGGCGGGGACCGACGTTTTCGCTCTGAACGCACCTTTGCGGGTGAGTCGGGGCTTGCTGGGTCTGCGCGCCGTCGGCGAGAATTCCGGCGATTGATCCTGGGGCTGCGCGATACTCTTCCGCTTGCTGGTTGGCGTGACGGGGACCATCGGCGACCAGACCGGTGTCCCCAGTTCTTCCGGCGTGGTGATCTTCTTCGGCGGTGTCTTCTCCGGCGACTCGTCCTTCCAGCCGCCCTGGTAGAGCGGGAACGGCGCGACCTGATTAAGGATCCGCCACCGGAAGTCCTCGTCGTCGCTCTTGATGGGGGTAGCCGCCACCGGTGGCGGACAATCCGGGGGGGTGACGTTGTGGAAGGGTGACCATTTCTTATCGTCAATCACCTCGACCGGGATGTCGCTCGGCGATTCGTCGTACGGCGTCCACTTGATCTCGCTGATGTGCTTTTGCTCGCGCTTCTTTATCCCGATAGTCGGTAACGGTGACGAATCCTCGTAGGGTGCCCACTTGGTGCTCGTGATGCTGATCTCCGGTGAGATCAGACGTCGCACGATCCTGTTCTCCAGCCTGTTCATCTGCCGCGGATCTGGTTCCGGTGACATGCTCCTGCGTATGCTGTACTTGGGCCGCTCGCGTAGACTCTTGCTCTTCGGTTCGTCTTGGCTCCTGTACCACTTTGACGACTTTTTCGTCTCGGCGGGCAGAGAGACGTGCGGCTTCATCGCCCATCTTGCTCGTAACGGCTTCTTGCTCTCCGCCGGACTGATGATTTTCTCCTTTTCCTTATCCTTTTCCTTGTCCTTGAAGCCCCATCTTCTGGAACTCTCGCTTCTCACCTGAGCGGAGCGCTCCAGCTTCGGTCGCTCTCTCGACTTTTCCTTCCTAACGGCTCTCGGATCCTCGCTGACTTGCCTTTTCATTTCCGGTTTCTCCCACGGCACGGCTGACTCGTCGGGCGTCAGAGATTTCGAATAGTACAGTCTTTTCTCTTCCTTCTGCACTGGTTTCTCCGGCTCCGCCGCCAGCACCTTCTGTTCTATAGGTGACGGCGGTGGCGGAGTCTTCACCTTGGGACAAGTGCACTTGGGCTTCGGATTGGGCATCACGTCCGGCACTTGCAGCCATTTTGCATCTCTCGCGAATCTCGTGTCGTCGCTACTGTGCTTCCTTAGGTCGTGTATCGGCATCAGCATATTCTCCGGTCTGTCAGACCATTTGTCCGTTTCCGCGCTGTGGTGCTTCCTGAGATCGCCGCGTTGCGTTCCCTCCGGTTTCTTCACTTCCGGGGTCAGGCTGTGGCAACTGCACCTCGTCTTTCTAGCGAGATCCAAATCGGTGCTCGAGGTATGGAGCTCCCAGCGGAACTCCGTGGTCTCGCTGGTGCGCCTCCTCAGATCCAAGATCGCATCGTCGGGCGACAGGAAGGTGCTGGTGCCCCATCTCACCTCGGTGCTGCGAAACTTCCATAGCTGACCGCGCTCGTGACGACTGATAACGTCGACCCCCTCGCAGCTGCAGAGTCTCGTCGGCGTCCTCTGCGACTCCAGCGGCGCCGGCTCGATGGCGTCCAGATCCTCGATCATCCATGAGATCTCCTCGCGGCGTCGTCGGCCGCACGACGGACAGAATAAGTCATCGTCGCGGCTAGTACGCGGTTGCTGCTGCTGCTGGCGGGCCAACGTCGGGGTCGAAGTCGAGGTCGATGCCGTGGGGTCAAGCTGCGAGAGCGGCTCCACGTCGTCGCGACGGCCATCGTCAGAGCG